GGAAAAGGACAGTATTTTCAACAAATGGTCAACAAATGGTCCATTGGGGTTTTTCTATTCTTACACAGCTGGGCTATGTAATTTTCAGTGACTCACTTACGGTCTCAAAAATCTACTACTGTAGTTTTAGCTCATTCTACTGAGTTCAACACTTCTATACCCCACTGCCTCTTGGGCGCCCCACCATGGATCCCACATGTCCAACCCTGAAGTCATCTTCATTACCCTTGGCTAACTTATTCCTGTTCCCTATCTCTGGAAATGGTTCAGAGTGAAATATCAAACTAAAAATTCTGGAAAATGTGTTTTTACCCTTTAATGGTTATTTTCTCTCCTGGGCCAAGCATATTCTATCTGTAAAATAGGTCGGAATTTGTGAATTCTGTCAAAAATTAAAGCAAGAATTCAGTCTGGGATTATTCCTAGGGACGCCAGAAACAGTCTTCTGGGTTGGCCAGAAGGAGATCTTTCTCAGTTTTAGGGGAGTGAGAGAAGTGAAGAAGAAAAATATATATAAATGTATTTATTACCACCAAACTGTACACTTAAAAATGGTAAAGATGGTAAATCTGTATGTACATTTTACCTCAATAAAAAAGTATATTAAAAAAATGAAAACCAACTCTACAGCAGTACTGCCCTATGTCCTTGATTCTAAGATGCATTTCTTCCCATCCTAAGGATTCTAAACATGGGAGGAAACATATGAATAAAACCTTAAAAACAAATTTAAAAAAACCTTGCCTATTTCCAAATAGAGGAATAAGTTGTGTTATTGTTTTTATGAAGAGGAAATGAATTTTATATTTGGTAATCAATTCTCATTTCAAATGTCCTCCAAAAGATGTACCAAGATAGAACAAGAAGAAGAAAAGTTACCATACTAACAAAAGACAGGCCATTGTTGCCAAGCAACGCAATTGCCAAAACACATAGAGTAGAACATGGAATTTCAAAACTAGCAGAGCCAAGTGTGGCCAATTCATGAACCAAACAGGACCACGATTTAACTACTGACCATGTCTCTCAGTCAAAATTTCTGGTTGGCTTTCAAGAGATGCTCTTTGACTTCTAGGTATACAAAATTCAACCAGAAACAGTAAAAGTATGTCTTTAACCAAGTAAGAAATGCAGATGAAAATGATATTCTTTAAAGGCCTCAAAATTTCACTATTAATCTAAAGGTCCTATAGAAATAAAGATGAGTACACGTCGTGAAAAGCAACACGGTACCATCGTGCTACTATGAATGACTACGAAACGTCAAAAGTTATGCAGCAGTCTATGTTCCAAGTGTGAAGACAGCTTCACGTGTATGTAATACAGAAGAAAAGAGTAAAAAAGTAAATCAACAAATGTATAATACTGTAAAAAAGTATGAATACTTCTATGTAAATTTATTCCAGTTTCCACTCCCCTCCTCTAGAAAAGCTACTAGATCAAGGGTTGAAGAAGTTTTCTGTAGAAAGGCCTTGACTGCCACAGTACCAGAATCTGAATTCCAACAGACACAGATCTTTACCACCAACAGAACTGTCTCATTTGCCACCCAAATGGATGCAGCATCCTTGGGATGTCTGCGTCACAGCTAAGGAAATCGAGATACGAGGACATGCCATCAGGAGATTGCCTACCTCTTCCTGGCACTTCACCTTTATCTCGGGACTGTCTCCACGTCATCGGGGTGATTTTTGGGAAGCACAGCAGACACCATTTTAGGCATTATTTGGCCTTGGGAAAATTCATATGTGGCACACTTCATTCTGTCAAAGCTAACATGCCTGCCCTGTCTACCTGACAGGGGTCATGGCAACATCCTAATTCAAGAACATAAGAGAAAGCCCGTTCCAAACTGTGAGTCCTACATACACGCAAATTTCTACCAGCCTCGTCATAAGGACACTGATTTATAACACCAAATGTTAACACCAAACTCATCTTAAAACATGAACACCACACAATACCATAGAGTACATTTTTAAAAAATAAACAAAGTGCAAAGGACACCCCATGCTACTCAGACTTCACGGTGCAGACTATTGGGTGGCTGATGGCATTCCCATCTACAGGTTACGTCAGATCTTTTCATGACTTAGATAGCATCTAAGTTCTTACGCTCAAGTTTTCAGTAAAGTATCAAATGTTTCCTTGTTCTTACTAAAAGCACTCCTCTATTAAGTAGCCACCTTTTTATTATTTGTTAAAACTTACCTGGTGCAATGATTTCTAATGAGTCAAAGGAACATACTTATGTGGAGTTTGCAGCAAAGGCCGATCTTCCAAGAATCTTCCCTGACCCTTTCCTAGGTCAGGCTTCCTAACCGCCTTTTATATCAGAAGACCCAACACACTTCTTCCCCCTCAGCTGAGTGTATGAATCAGCATTTAAAAACCTGACTCTCTTCTTTTTCAAGGAGGCCAACTATTTTGCAACACAAACACTTGTTAAATTAAGTTAATCCAGCAAATACTACAAGTTTCACTTAAACACAGATTCGACAAATATGTTTCTTCACAAGCCTGGAGAACTGTTTTCAGCCAAGACACTCCAAGATGGTACAGATGGGAAGATGAAACCTTCCCCCAGAAGGAGTCCTGCAGCTAAACCTGGAGGCCTCTGGAAGAACATTCAGAGGCCACAGGAGGCCTGGGCTCTGGGCCCACAGATAAGAAAAGAAATTCTCCTCCTAGCCAACCTGGAACCCTTCAAAAGTATGAAACTCTCCCAATTCTCCCAGATTTCCCCTCACCTATGCACAAAAACTAAACACGTGCAGTCGCCAAAAGCTTCCATCCTAGAAGGCAAAGAAACTACAACTCCTTGCTTTGATAGAGAGTCATCAAAGGTTGAAACTAGTCAGGATTTTGTTTTCCAGACTCACTGCTGGCCTCGAGGAAGTATGACACCACCATCCTGAGCACAAGGCAGCTGTTCTTTTTTGGCTGGAGTTCAGTATAAACCTTATAAATGGTCTGCTAGCTTTCTCTCTTTAAAAAAATATAATAATTTTTAAAAATTCCATAGTCACTCAACTCCAAGCCTGATGTTTTTACTATAAAGTTTTTCCTGCTGAACAGAGAAAACCATGTATTTCCAATAAATTTTTGAGTCAAAAAGGTACCAGTAGGTTATTTCCACTAGAGAAATATAATGGAATAAACAATTAGGCAGATTGAGAACCAACGGCTAAAGGAGTTCCAAAGAGTCACTGAGTACCAATTCTCTCTGAAGTATCAAATATAAAAATCTAGGCCGGGCGCAGTGGCTCACGCCTGTAATCCTAGCACTCTGGGAGGCCGAGGCGGGTGGATTGTTTGAGCTCAGGAGTTCGAGACCAGCCTGAGCAAGAGCGAGACCCCGTCTCTACTATAAATGGAAAGAAATTAGCCAAACAACTAAAAATAGAAAAAATTAGCCAGGCATGGTGGCACATGTCTGTAGTCCCAGCTACCCGGGAGGCTCAGTCAGGAGGATCGCTTAAGCCCAGGGGTTTGAGGTTGCTGTGAGCTAGGCTGACGCCACGGCACTCTAGCCCAGGCAACAGAGTGAGACTCTGTCTCAAAAAAAAAAAAAAAAAACAAATATGAAAATCTAGCAATGAACAATTTACTTTTCAAAGGAGGCCCTCAATTGTAAACAGTAAAGCCACTGAATACACTTTCATTTAGGAGTGAATTTCAGACATCAGAAAACTTCCCTTTCATTCCAAAACTTTGGTCTATTATAAAGGTACCACAAAGGCTACATTTTACTCATTATTTAACTGTCCCAGCTAAGCATTTGCCTACAGCCACGGGTGCATATGTTCACACCATGACATGTCCCAGAGCCTGGCATCTGTCATTGCTTTTTCTCTATTTTCTCCATTACAGACTTACAAGGATTGGATGCCAGCAGTGCTTTCAAAACTAGACTAAACCTTTCATAGGGCAAATCCACGTTACTTACGATTTCAGTGTGTATATTTGTGACAGACCCACACAGATCAATAAGTTCAGGAGAAATCAGTAAGTTCCTAAACCTTGGGAAATTCTTGGGAAGTCAATAGACTTCCAAGACCAAAAGAGAGAATCTGGACTTGGTTTCTAAAACCAAAACTTCTAAAACTTCTAAAACCAAAGCTGGCAAATCCCTTGTAGAGTCTGGACGTGCGGGGTCCCTCCCACTATACATTCTCTTCCTTTAATTTGTAGCTACCATGTAACTGCCAGACTGTCACGTCACCTGCCAAATTCCTACCCTGTACACACTCAGGACTATGCAGCGACGCTAACCTACTATACACATGAGAACCATGTGCGTGATTCTCATCAAACTACTCAACTGACCCCTGGATACTAAGCAAAATTCAAGGTCACTGGCTTCTTTACTGTGTAACACAGAATCCCTCCATGGGAGTTTTTCTTTAACGCCAGAGAGCACCCTGAACACGCTTCATTGCAGCTCTTGTGTAAAATGGTCTGGATTCACTTTAGGAAATTAGAATAATATAGGCATATGGAAAAAAGTTTGCTGTTCCTCTGTATCCAAATGATAAAAAATACATCACACACAAAGATACACATGTGTATGTGTATATTATACACACGAACATATAACCTTGTATTCACCTGAATTAGTATCACTTATAAACACCATTATATGCTTTTAATGTGTGAAATCATTTTAGCCAGCCCCATTCATCATTCAAAGTGGGGGCTAAACAATAGTGGAGATATTTAATCCCCAATAAATTGTACAGTTGTCTGATCACAAAGGATACTTCATAAATACTGTTCACTAGCTTATGTAGGGAAAGATAACTATTTGGAAAATCAACTTAATGGTAAAAAATCTCACCAGTTAGACCCTACCATCTAGAACACTCCGCTCATTGCGTTCGTTGTGTGCTGCCCTGAACTCCAAATCACCTTGCACAGACATACTTAGGGTTACGTGACGACAGAGGGCGAGAAACGGGGGACCAGCCCCACCTCTGGGGCTTTCTGAACCTTCATACCTGTGCTGATGCTCCTGTAAGACTTGATAAATGCTGATAAGAAAAGTTTGGTTTTTAAAACTCCCCACAACACAGTCCTTGTAGATGCGGAACTCTGCAGCCGTCACCGCCTCACCCTCGGGAATCTGGGATAAGTTGAACTTGAACTCTTTGTGGTGCCGCTGGCGAGGGGAGAACTCCTTGTCGTACTCCACTACAAGATTAAACGAGAGAGAGTGACAGCTGTTGTTACTTGACTAAGTGCCACAGGCTCACCTCATCACAGCGCCCCCGTCCTGCTTCGTGGGCGGATTACCAGTTACCAAGGGCCCGTGTCGGGATCAGGGTGGCGGACAGGACGCCGGCTAGGCCGTAGGCAGAGGTGAAAATCCTTCACGTTACCCAAGGATTAAATAACATTCTTAGATTTGATTTAAATGCTTCAGTTTGAATTCTTAGTTGAACTAATGCGAATGACAGCAAGTTATCTAAACGCTTGGCTTCGGGTTTTCTCAGCTGCAAAAACGGGAAGAATGCGACTTCTCAGGAACAGGTTGACAGAGTTCACGAAACAGCAAATAAGCACCCCCGGCCCGGCCCCCTTTCCTCCCGACTGCGCTCTCCCCTCCTCAGGCTGGTTCACGTGTCACCGTCGCTAGTTGCCGGAACCAAGGGTAGCTCTCAGGTGAACTCCGGAGCAGGCGACGTGAGGGTGGGGGAGGGGAGTGGGCAGCAAACTTTGCCCGGGCCTGAAATGTGAAAGGTCCTCAAGTTCTGTCTGCTGTTCAGTGGGAATTTTTGTTGAGGGGCTTAGGGTAAGGCTTCACAGAAAATGGCGCTCTAGCTGAGCCCACTGCCTTCCCCCTGCGGGTGGAACCCGGGGGCTGCATGGCTGAGGAACGCGCCCCTCCGCCCTGGGAAGCTGCCCGAGCCTCCGTTAACGCCGCTTGTAGATCCCACAGAGGACGACGAGGACGTGCAAGGAAGTCGCCAACAGCGCCACTTGCTATTTTCTGAGGATTTACACTGAAAAAACATTTTGGAAAAGGATTGTTTTTTTAACAAAAAAAAAAAAAAAAAAAAAAAAAGGAGAGAGGGATAACTTGAGTCTAAAAGTTTGTTGCATAATCACATGCAAATGAGTTATAGTATTTTAACATGGAATCAACCTATCTGTCCACCCGTGGGTAAATGGATAAAGAAAATGTGGGACACACATGCAATGGATGGTGTTCAGACTTAAAAAAGAAGGAGATTCTGCCATTTGCAACAACACGGGTGAACCTGGAGGACATTATGTTAAGTGAAACAAGCCAGGCACAGAAAGACCAACACCGCATGATCTCACTTATTCGTGGAATCTAAAAAGTCAAACTCCTAGAAGCAGAAAACAGAACAGGGGTTACCAGGGGCTGGGGGTGGTACTGGGGAAATGTTAGTCAAAGGGTCCGAAGGTTCAGTTAGGCAAAAGGAATGAATTCTGGAGGCCTCCTGTACAGCATGGTGACGACAGTTAATAATACCGTATTATACACTCAAAATTGCTAGGAGAGTAGACCTTAAATGTCCTCACCACCAAAAAATAAAGTGTCTATGTGAGGTGATGGATACATTAATTAGCTTGATAGTGGGATTCACTTCATAATGTATATCAAAGTACATTGTGCCCCTTAAATACATACAATTTTGTCAATTATATCTCAATAAGGCTACAAAAATAAATTTTTAACAATCTTTTTCCTGCATGAAGATAAATTATGGGAAATTACAATTACTGGTCACCATTTTTCAGAGTCAGCTCTCAGATGTCTTCCTAAAGTCCTGTATGAGAAGAATGATATCAAACCTCAGATGCTTAATGCATAATCATTATAAAAAAGAGCACTCTGCTTCCCATTGTAAATCCTTGTTCTTTTCCCGAGAGTTAGGAGATGCTTCTGCCCTGCCATTCCTGTTAGTTTTTTCTTGACGGCAACCACAGTGAAATCTCACAAGCAAACTAATCCTATGGCAGAGTTTTCTCAGTTCTTGTGGGCAGGAAAAAGCATCAAATTCTTTGCCACCTCCAACTTCCCACTTTCTCCTACATGTGTTGTTTTTCATAATCACCAGAGAAAAGCTTTGGAGATTTAGCTTCTTAAAGAAAAAAAAAGCTAGTAACCTTCTAGAAGAACCTAAGTCCTCAATGGCATTTGAAGAAGCTAAGGAAATCTAGGCCATCTATAGGTACCAGGTTTTAAATACAGAATTTCCATGTAATTATGCAATGAATCTTTTGGATTCAAGTTATTTTTTTTTTTTATTTTAGGGGTTAAAAAAGAACAAGCTTGAAGAGTTTGAATATAAGTAAAAAGAGGTCCAACCAGAAAGTAAACCACAGTTCAGTCCCAAAAAGAAAGCAGGTTTTCTAATTAGTGGCTAAGCACGAAAAGCAATATTGTTGGGGAGTTCGCCCAAGGACACACACACACATGATGGTGTATCACTTTCCTCTAAAACTGATCTGCCTTTTAAGTTTGATATGTTATCGCTGCTGGTTAAAAAGTGAATCAAATCTGATTTTCCAAAGAGACTTTCTAAAAAACAGTCACACAGCTTTTCTCTATAGGGCCTTTTGGATGCTTAGTTGTAACATTGCTAAATGAAAATATAAAATTTTTAAGATTCGCTTGACAGCATGTGTAAGAATTCTTCAAAGAAGCTTTGCAATAAGCTCTTAATATAAACAATGATTAGAAAAAATAGGGATGTGAAGTAAGATGTAAGACAGTAACTTTAAGATATTTCAGTTATAAGGAGAAGAGAAAGGGACAGAAATTTCAATAGAGTAGAAATGTGATGGTCAGTCTTTGGAGAGATGCACACCCTTCCCCCACCCCACCCCCCAATAAACCATACCGCCCTGTATTTATGCCCTTGGATGGTCCATTCCCCTGGGGTTGGTCTGGGCTGGCTCTATAACCTGTTTTGGAAAAACAGAATTTAGCAACGGTGGTGCTGAGAGACTTCCAAGGCTAGGTCAAAAGTTTTGAACCTTCTTCTACCTAAGTTTCTTGGGACACTTGCCTGGGAAAAGACAGCTGCCAGGTAAGAAGTCTGACTACCCTGAAACCTCCATGTTGTGAGGAAGCCCAAGCTAACCATGTAGAAAAGCTACATGGAGGGGTTGGGGGAGAGGAGAAGAGAGAGCAAGTGTGCACACCAACCAGAGACAAAGACAGAGACAAACAACTATACAACCAGTCTCCAACCACCTCAGCTGAGACACCCGACATATTATGAAGATGCCACCTTGGATGTCCCAGTGGAGCCTTTGGATGACTCCAGCCTCAAGCACCATCTGACTGCAACTACATGAGAGACCTCGAGTAAGAACCACCTGGACCTGGTCATTTTACAAAAGTGTGAGAGATGATAATGCACTGTTGATTGTTTAAAACCACTATGTTTTGAGTGATATGTTATGCAGTAAGAGGCAACAAACACAAGAAGGGAAGAGAGGACAGGAGAGGATTAGAGAGGGAGAAGAACAGAGAAGGGAGGTCTGACCATGCAAGGACAGAGAGATATTGCAGGCAATTCTTAAGGATGGGGATTGGGCAATGCTGGGAGGCAATATATATGACTAAGGAAGAATCTTGGCAAATGCTCACAGATTTGGAGACGTGAAGAGATAAAGAATCTGAAAATGAGAAAATAAAAACACAGTTCAAAGCATTCATTTTATTACAATGTAAAGCAGAACCTATTGTCATATATGTACATTTTTCCATTTCTCCATTAGCAAGACAATATCATCTTGAAGCACTCTGAACCTTTTCCTTTATCCTTCTCAGAGGAGAGTTCATGGTCTCCTCAGCTCCTTCCATGAGTCTCTGATAGCTACCCCATCCTTAAAAGGGGCTCCCACGCCCAACTCACTACTCTACGGTTGAAGTTGGACCACCTTCCTTACTCTCCCCAAGATATCCCAGCCACAGATCTCTGAAGTTTGCTTGGAGCTCCTTCCTTCTCCCCCACTCTCTTGCCTGCAGTTGAATTTACACAGTGCATTTGCTAATGTCTCATAGAGATACAAGACATAAATACAATTTACTGCCTACACGTGTGCATTTGAAAACCACAAGGGTAAAATGGTAGTTTCCAATGAGCTCAGCAATTCAAGCTATATGATTCTGGACTCCTTAAATGTCAGACAGTTCAAGAAATATGAATGGGAGGAAAAGGGAGAGGGCTGAGTCCTGAATTTAGCTCTCAGTACCTATTTTGTACACCCTAGTATTTGGCTTATTGATGGTGGTGCCACACATGGCACACAATTAAGTCCTAGCTAAGAGTGTTGAGGACATATCAAACTGCCACACTGCTTTTGACTTCCAGCTCCCCTCTTTCTTACCTATGTGATGCTGAGAAAGATATGAGTCAAAGTTTCAGTATCAGTTAAATGGGAATAACAACATTTCTGAAGATTAGGTGGCACAATCTACATAAAATAGTCAATGGCATGGCATAAGTGTTCAATAAATGTTAGTTATGATCACCATTGGCTGTTATTTGAGAATCTAGCTCCTATGAGCTTAGACTATGTCTTTGTTGAGTAATTCAAATTTACTAGTGAGTCTACAGACAGGGGTGATGGATTTTTCCTCTAAATTAGCTTTTTCAATTACAGCGATGCATTCTGTGTGAAGGGCAGTTAGTGAAATCTTAGAGTATCAGCCTTGGTGGGTGGCTATTGAATACGGTGCAGTGTTCTTTGAGGCAATAATTCCCAGAATTTTTTTTTTCAAGGACCAGTTAAAGCATTTTTTCTAAAAGGTAATGACCTTATACAAGGTCACCTACTTTTTCTGTTTGCCGTTTTTCAATAAAACAAACTGCATTCTTTACACCTGCATTACTGAAAGTCTTTTAAACATCATATAAAATAGGGAGGGCATAATTTAATAATACCATCTCTTAAATTGGATGAAATTAACTTTATAAAACTTACTTTATTCTCTCTTTTTGCCTTAGATTATATCAGTTGAAATTTTAGACCAGTCCTAGATCTTTGGCCAACATGTAGGAACAAAAGCCCTAAGGAATGAAAGTCAATGATTTAAGATTTAAAATGTGAATTATGTAATATTATACATACAAAAGGATACATGCGATTTATGGATGTCATGAAGCATAATAATAAAGTACCAAAGAAACCAGCACCCAACTTGC